CTTGTGCAGAATAAAAATAGCAAAACACAGTGCAGACCAGAAGGAAACGGAATGCAGAGAGTGATGGTGAAGACCTGCTAAGGGTCTACATCGACTATGGCCGCACTCGATTCCGTTGGCCTTAGGATTGAATGGGAGCTATCTCCTGTATGATTGGTCTTTGATCGATGGTGCGTGGTGTTGGAGGTCGGTGGAATGTGCAAGGCACACATATGAGAAGCGTGTCGTGCACAGCGCGATCGCTAAATGAGGTGTTTTTGATAACACTAATGACTGTTGATTGACTAGGAGGAGGATAAGTGGGAGATTCAAATTTCTGGCCGTATTGTTACCCTTCCCGCGGGAAGGGTGTAAGAAATTCAGATAGACTCTTTGATTGTTCCCCTCCACGGAAATCTTTAGTAAAAGGCGAAAGATTTACTCGCTTTGAAGGGGAACCAGAGTTATTGGGAAAAAAGGATCTGAAGACTGAAGTCTCCGATGCCTTAATCCCACCGATGCAGTGTCCTTTATTTCCATCACAAGACCTTATAAGTCTTTCATTAAGATTTCCTACCCATAATATTCCCCAATGTCATGGCCATATATAGACGATATATCGAGAATGGTCTCACCATATCCTCACAGAGAAGCGAAATAGACCCACAATGACGTTCTAGACCCCTGTTCCATCCTCACTACCGCCATCTCCCGGTCACAAGAGAAACCAATCAGTGCACATCATCGTCTGACATGTTGGCATTTGCTCTAAACTACAGAAATTGAATTCGGGAACATTGCGTTCGTGAACCTCTAGGAGAAACGCAAGGAATGTCCTCTCCCCAGGCTTAATACCTCCGCCCAAATCCACCGGCTTCTAATCCATATATCTCCGTTCCCACAGCAAGTGTCATCGCGAAACTCTCATTGAGCATCGAAGAATGTGTTTACAATATGCAGTGGATTCCGCTTAATCGGGTCATCGGTTAATGGGGGCAGACGGTTTATCGGGACATTTTTTCTGGAACGGAATCATTTCTATGCAAGTGCATTAAAATTTCGCCGCATGTTCCGGACGAAAATCCGCTTTGTTGGGGCAAGGTCCGGGTCGGGGTCGGGGGGAGCCGTCGGTCTGAGAATTGAAAGAGGCAAAGAAGACGCCTAAAGTCGGTAATCAAGCCGAAGCCAAAAGAAAAACATTAAAATCCGTCATCAGAACCCACACAAAAGCTGCTCACTCGTAAATAGGGAGATACTCCAATTCAACGACGTTGAAGAAACGTTGAAGAACATGCGACTGGAATTCCTGCGACTGAACGCGACGTCGATCGTCCAGCCGATGGACCAGGGTGCCATCAAAAATCTGAAGACTCTGAAGAAGAATCCGCGGTGCCAGAATATACTGCACAACCAGCCCTATATTCTCTCTCTCTTTCCAGGATCAAGGAAGAGGATGGCATATTCCAACCTCTCCCCTCCGTATCGATGCTCTCCCCATTTTTAGGCCTATCACAATGATAATAGTCAAAGGTAATACAGAACATAAACGAACTAATTGCTTCGCTCTCTTTCACTGGCCTGGTCTTGGTCCACAATGACTTTTACGTACTTTCCCATCCCTTCCTTTTCATGGAAGAAACCGTTCTGACCGTTTTCAATATTAGAGTTTTGGCCTTCCGATTTTACACGATTTTGTTGAATATGATGGCGACTAGTCACGCACAAAATCACAACTGCCAGGGAACCCCCCCCCCCCCCCCCCCTACCCCAAAAATAAATGTCTTCCATTGAGAACCAGGAATTTTGAAAGATCTTGAGGCATTGGTTTATGCAGGGGTGGATAAGAATTTATTCCACTATCCCAGCTCAGGGAAAATGGGATCTGGAGACAGAGATCGCTAATGTCTTCCCAACTTTATAACTACGGTGGTTTCACAGCGCACTAGGAATCCAGCCGAAAGAATTAAGCTTGAAGTCCAGGATGGATTTCGGGAGCACCATCTCTATTCATCCGTCACATTCACTCGCTCATTGGGAAGGCAAGGAAGCAAATTCGTTGAAGAACTGTGCGGAGCTCCTCAGTGAGTCACGGAGAAGCGAAATAGACCAGCAATGACGTTCGAGGCCCATTTTCGATCCTAACTACCGAGATCTTCCGGTCACAGGAGAAACCAATCTATACCATGCCCGTATATATATACACATATCCCTATTTTTGCCGACATCAACATCCAAAGTATTCATAAATGCCTGGATTACTGTTTTGGACAAGGAAATAGTGCTGGGGACACTGGGGAATTTCCTATGCGGTCGCGAGCTTGTGCAGAAGAAAAATAGCAAAACACAGTGCAGACCAGAACGAAACGGAATGCAGAGTGTGATGGTGAAGACCTGCTAAGGTTCTACATCGGCTATGGCCGCACTCGATTCCATTGGCCTTAGGACTGAATGGGAGCTTGATGCTCCGTCAAATTCAGGGACTGTTTCTTTGGAAAAAGTTACGAAGGCATCATTTGAGGTGGCCTGGAAAATTGCACGTTGCAAGAAGCCTCACAATATCGGAGAAGAACTTGTTAAGCCAGCGGCCCTTGCTATGGTCAGGACTGTCTGTGGAGATGAGATTGCCAAGAAACTTGAATTGGTCCCGCTTCCTGACAACAGCATTAAACGACGAATTGACCTCATGTCACAAGATATTCTCGAACAAGTTGTTCATGCGCTAAAAAAAAAAAACAGGAAAGTTTGCGATTCAGATCGACGAATCTGTGGATATTGAGAACAACCCTCAGCTCATGGTGTTTGTACGCTACAAAACAGATGAAGACATTGTTGAAGAATTTCTCTTTTGTGAGCCTCTTAAAACCACGACAACTGGTAAAGACATTTTCGAAATGGTCAGTGATTTTTTCAAGCAGCATAATCTCCACTGGATGGATTGCTGTGCTTTTTGTACTGATGGAGTCCCAGCCATGATGGGAAGTCGAGTGGGATTTTGCACGCGAGTGAAAGAAGTCACCCCTGAAGTCGTCGTCATTCATTGCTTCTTTCATCGAGAGAACTTGGCGACACAGGACATGCAACCAGAGCTTTACTCGGTTCTTTGGGAAGTCGAGTGGGATTTTGCACGCGAGTGAAAGAGGTCACCCCTGAAGTCGTCGTCATTCATTGCTTCTTGCATCGAGAGAACTTGGCGACACAGGAAATGCAACCAGAGCTTTACTCGGTTCTAAAGGATGCTTTCCAAATTGTGAACTTCATCAAGGCGAGGTCACTGGATTCTCGACTGTTCCGTGTTTTGTGCGAAGAAATGGGATCTGAGCACCAGCACTTGCTCTATCACACAGAAGTCCGCTGGCTCTATCGTGGGAAAATCCTTTCACGTGTCATGTCGCTCAGAACGGAAATTGACTTTTTTTTTAAGGGAAAATTCACTCGTTGGCTAACCGTTTCAAGGATGAAACTTGGCTAGCAAAACTGGCTTACTTGAGTGATATTATCCAGCACTTGAACGAATTGAGCGCTGAAATGCAGGGGCGAAATCGGACCATGGTTGATATTGGCGAGAAGATCTCTTCATTCAAAAGGAAATTAGCTCTTTGGCGGGGAAAGATGTCAAAGGGAAAAATTGCAGCATTTCCTGGGCTGAATGAATTTCTTGAAGACGCAGCAGAAGTATCTATCACAGACCTGGCTGCGATTTTTCAAGAACACTTGGCGAAGCTTCAAACATAGATGGATCGATACTTGCCCGAAAATGTCGATCTTCAGAAGCACAGCTGGGTGAGAAATCCATTTGATTTGGACGTCCATGAAGTTGGAGATGATGCTGATGGATTCCAGGAAGAACTCCTTGATCTCCAGGAAAATCAAGTACTGCGAGAGAAATTTGTTCAAGTTTCTTGATCACAGTTCTGGGCCCATCAGCGGGGTAATGCTGTTCTGTCTCGTGAGGCAGAGAAAGCTCTGCTTCCTTTTCCAACTACATATCTTTGTGAGGCAGGATTTTCTAGTCTGGTTGTAATCAAGACAAGAGCAAGAAATCGTCTTGACCCGCAGCATGAGCTTCGCTATGCCATCTCTATCAATATTCAGCCGAGGATAACTAAACTGACCGAGAAAATGCAGCATCAGTAAGAAATCGTCTTGACCCGCAGCATGACCTTCGCTGTGCCCTCTCTATCAATATTCAGCCGAGGATAACTAAACTGACCGAGAAAATGCAGCATCAGGGTAGCCACTGAATTCCGAAGGATTTCTAACGTCTTCACATGAAGTGTCTCATTTTCATCAAAATTATTTGTTGATATGGGTGTCTGTGTTAAATGGGGATTTCTAATAAATATTTTAAGCATTTTTTCGTTTCAATTAGCATTTTTGCCTGTTGTCAAATTAATTTTTGTATATGATTGAACTACTGATGATGTTTAATGTGCACCATTGTATGCATCAAGACATTCAATACACTTGATTTGTACCTGAATTCCCAATAAATTTCTTAAGTTTTAAAAAATTAATACATGAATATACTCGTAAATAAATAATAAAATCAATATAATTACATATACATGTATGTATTTCTATTGATATACATATTTGAATTTTATCATAAGCCAGAGGGTCGCGAGGTCCTGTCGATGCCCAATTTAGGGTCGCGGCAAGAAAAGGTTGGGAACCACTGCTGTAATGTAACCTCCTGCAAAATGGTACGTTTTTTCTTCTGAGCATTTTCGAGATTTTCATCAAAATGTACCCGAAATATCAACAAGAAAACGCGACTTCGGAGGATCTCATGGAATAACTCGCCTCCCAAGTAACTTAGCAAAAAATCCTCCGTAATTCTGTTAGAGGAGAGTCTCTCAATTCTGTAGACACCTTCATCGCCAGAATCCGTGCAATTATGCCATGCAATATCCTCTCAAAGGAGAGCGGTTCGCAGGCTGTTTTTTCCAATGTCCTCACTCCCCCTTAGTAGTATAAAAAGGGTAGGATCGACCGGAGGCGCAAGCCTGGCGCAGCCTGGCGCTGCCTGGCGCTGCCTAGCGCAATATCTTATTTCTTATATAACCATAATTTCATATGATTTAACGTCAGCATATCATTGATTTATGTGAGTACTCGGTGAATTAACGTTGAATTATCGGCTGCACGATGATTTGCATTATCCATGTACCTTCATGAAGCGATTTTTCGAATTGGAAAATATTATGTCATGAATCTTGCGTCATAAAATCCCAGTTTAATTGACTCTTACCGCTTTGCATCAGGGAAGTCAATAGGGTCGGATGAAAGATTCCATTATGATAACGTGTTTTATCTCCCGATGACAGATTGATCGTGCTGGCCCCCTTCTTCCTTCGCGCTATTTTTACAGCCCCCCCC